CAGGGTCAGCACTCAACACTCCAATTCAGGGCAGCTTCTGGGTGTTATCCTGACGCTAAGCCCCGTCCTTCTCCCGCCCACAGCTGAGCTCTGGAATTCAACCATTAGAGCCCCTTCCCTGGGGTTGAGATTTTGACCCCTGGTAACATTTCCAGTACCCAGGGAAGGGATGCCTCCTTATACTGTCATGAGGCTTCTGTACCTCTGGGTAAGGAAGCAGTCTGGTGGCAGGTTTCATGAGGCGAAGGGAAGCTGGGAAGGTTTGATGGGAGTCTGACTCTGCCCGTGAGAATGTTTGGGGGGGCCTGGGTGGGGGGGGGTCACACAGCAGGTGCACCGCCAGATGGAGAGACGGCACAACCAACGTGTACCTGCGTGCGAGTTTGCAGCTCTGCACCACCCCGAAGGCCGTGATTCTGTGGGTTTGAATAGTGATGAACAAAGTTGATTAAATCAAGGCAAAATGCCCTTCACCCTTTTCTCACCTTATTTCTCCCTGTCCTATTCCTCGAGTGTATTCCTCACACACGTACTGGGCACCTTCATATGAATTATCCATGAAAACATAAGAAATGCCCACTGGTCGGGCCAGTGATCCGTCCAGCTCACGGCCACCAGAACGGAGCCCGGCGATGCCCTGTGCCTGTTGGTTAAGCTTCCCTCTGAAACCAGCCTCGGACGTGCCAACTGCAAATCGTCCCAACCCTCCTTGTCCCCTTTCAGAACAGAAACTTGTACCTGTGAATATGAACACGCGCAGCCTGCTTCGTCTTTAAGGAAACAAATCAGTTGTTCTAGACCAAATTCTACTATAACTTGCTCCAAAAATGGATGTCCTGTACCAGAATCTATCACCTATTGACCATATTATTTTCCAGACATTGCTAAGTGTTTCCCATCCCTTCTTTCATTTAATCCTCATAACAGACTGTGAAGGACTTATGATCTCTCCTGTTTCCAGCTGAGTAAACTGAGGGGCAGAGAGGTCATGTGACTGGCTGAGAGCTACCCATTCAGTGGTGTAGCCGAGATCTGAACCTCCGTCCATCTGGCTCCAAAGACAGTACAGCTACTACAGTCTACACTGCCTAGTGATTTATCACAGCAGCTTTGACCCTCATCACTAATACACAGCTGTAAGAGGAGAATTACAGCCTGGACCATTTCACTCCTAATGTGTAATAACAATTATGAACAGTGATTAACAATAGTAATAGCACTTGAAGCTACTCCAGGTGGATAATCAGGACAGAGAGTGACAATAAGAAACCATGAGCGGGCTTGGCTCCTTTGTGTATGAGAAGGAAACAGCCAGGCCCCAGAAAGGACAGGTGATCCCCCAGCATCAGGCCGCTTGCAGACCTCCCAAGACCAGCGTAATCCTGGCCCTGGTCAGAGTCAATTTTTAAAACTGATCACCGAGAAGATACTAAACTAAATGGTGACGTCTAATCAGGCTCCTTAGATGTTTGGAAAAGATTTGTGAAAAGAGAACTTTCTGGAATGTTCTGTCCAATTCACCCCCGAACTGGTTTTTATCTCCCTGTGCAGAGCCAGCCACGCAGGATGGATTATGTGGGCTCTGAGCCGAGTGTTTGGGGGCTGGGGAGACGCAGGTCTGTAAACAGAACCCAGAGGTAATGAGTCCGCTGGTAACCGGAAGCCCTTCACGGTAATGGTGGAGGACGGGCCACGTGCCTGGGGCCGGGAGCGGCCGGGGCTCCAGCTGTAGGTGGACGATGGGAGCAGGGCCCTGCCGGAGGAAGGCTCCACACAGAACGGGCGGGATGGGGAAAGGCCTGCCTGCCAGGAGCCTGGGAGCTGCAGCAAGCCCAGACTTAACCCAGGCTCCCCTGTGAGAAAACATGGCAGGGGCAAAGCCAGAAGCAACGTGGGCACCCCGATGGCAACCCACCTGCCGTGGGGAGGACTCCCCCAAATCCAGCTGCCCCCCACCGAAGAACTGGGATCTTCCGAATCCAAACGTGTTCCTTGCTGCTGGTAACCCAGGAAGCCGAAAGACCCATCCCCAGGGACCCCGGGGAGCACGGGGAGAGAGACCCCTGAGGATACCAGGGCCCTGGCCCAACTGTCTTCCTTTGTGCCAAACACAAACCGTCAATTCAACTTCTTCATTTTTTTCTTATTTTCTTTCCGGGGAGGGACTGGTACAAGCATCCCCCATGACCACCCTGCACCTGACCATCCAGTGGAGCCAGGTTCCTGGAGAGAGTGAATACTGCCCAGCCCGGGGGTGCTGGGGGGACGGTACTAACCCGTCCAGCCACTGGGGAGACAGAGGCCCTGTGCGGCGTCTTTGTGGGGCTGGGATGATGGGGGTGACCACGCCATGCCAGGTCTCTGAACTCATCCGACCAGATCCCAGGGGCCCTGGAGGAACTCCTGGTCCCCACAAATTGCTCAGCTCGTGTCTGCAGGCTGAGCCCAGGCCCGGGGAGTCCAGCTCTGAAGAAAGCAGCTCTAACTCAAGTCCGAGCTGGGACCAGACTGGATGGCAACCTGCCCTCAAAACAGGAGTGCCCTTAGACTGTCCTGTGAGCTGACTGCCGTGTGAAGCTCCCCAGAGGCTGAAGCAGTCAGACCTCCTGTCCACAGAGTCCAAGAGGACCTTCACACTCGTTTGTTTTGTGTGGTTCCACCTGCTGGCTGACGTCTGCTCAGAACCGAGACCGCCCCGCACACACGCCTGTACACGCATCGCCCCTCGCAGTACCTGCGGCGTCGGGGATGCTCGGCGAGTGTCACTTCTCTTCCTTCTCCCCCTCCTTCTTCCCGTGCCTGGTCTCCAGGCTTGGGCACTGGTGACACCAGTCCCATCCCAGCAACACTCCTGCCTCAGGGCTGGGAAGTCACGGCAGCTCTGCCTAAATGCTCAGAAGACTAATGTCGTGGATTTTATTGCAGGCTCCTCTCCCCAAAACAGCAGGCTCCCGGGCTGACTCAGTCAAGTCAACTCCACTCATGAAATGAAAAAAAAAGAAATACAGTGGATGGATGATAAGTGTCGATCAGACTGTTGTCAACGAGTCAACATTTCAAGTCACTGGAGGACTTTTTATCCCATCATCCAGCCGTTACAGTGTCTCAAAGCCCCAGTTTTGATGTCGTCTGTTTCCATTAAACACATTTGCAGCTGACATAGGCAAAAATCAAACCCTTCCTGCTGGGTGGGGTGGAACACCAGAGGGATACCTGGTCATTAAGCTCCCTTAAAGAGAAGGAAAGCAGACTGTTCAGAAAACAAAAATATATTTTCAAAACCACCAAAAGGAGGTGTGCCTTGCATTCAGCAGCAGCCCTGTCCCTGGGTCTCAAGGGCCCCATGGCTCTAGCCAGACCTACTTCTCTGGAGAAAAAAATGAACTTTAGTGGAAAGAAGCTTGTATTCTAGACCTGAAACTGTGTGACCAGCTGCTCCAAACCCAACCAGGGGCCTGGAGACCATAACTCACCTACCCGCAACCTACACTGCACCTGGCTTTACCACCAAGAGGGACTAGAGTGACCAGCCCAGATTCTTACAGCAGAGACTTAAGATCAGGCCTTTATGGGATGAAGTGAATTGATTGCAACATGGCCCCAACTTGTCGATACCTCCCTGTACCCATTGACTTCCCACACTGCCGGGCTTAAGCCTCTGGGAAGGTAACAAATGGGATGGAAACAGACTTGAAAAGCACCTGCACTTTGGGGCGTGGCCTCTGTCTGGCCTGGAATGCCGAGTCGCAGTGTGAAAAACCCGAGCTAGCCAACTGGAGGATAGAGGGCAGGGGATGCAGAGATGACGGTCCAGCCCGCCAGGCCCTCCTCCACCAGCTCTCCCTCAGTGAGCCCGGCCAGCATCACCAAGCCTGAGCCCCAGTAGCAGAACCACCTGGTTAAGCCCAATGCACACAGCCGACCCTAGAACTGTTCAGTCACTACGTCTGGAGCTTGTATTAGGCTGCAGAAGCTAAGTGACATAAAGGCCAATTTCCTTCATGAAAAGAACTACGTACCTTTCACATGTAAAAAAACTCCCACAAGCCAACAGTCACCTTATTCTACAAATTCATTCTCATTCATGAGGAGTTTTGTGTGTGTTCAGACACATCCTTTGCTTCTTGTTTTGTGAAACAGTTGAAACGACCTCAATTTCTATCAATAGAAGCCACGGCACAGGCACCGGTGGCGGGTATGACTTCTCTGGAAGACAACTTGGCAACATCTTTCAAATGCGGGGACATAACAAATGGGTCTAGAAGATCATGTTTTTCCAGAAAAAAACATTAAAAAAAAAAAGAAGCCAGAGAACATTCTGATGTGTTTTATAGGAAAACAAATATCCAAACATCTGAGATCTCATGGTGCGTTGACTGGAAACAGCGAAGCTTCTTGTGTGAAAGCTGGGGGGCGGGTCTTGGGGAGCCAAGCTGGGCCGTGAGGGGGTAACACGGCCCCCGTGAGCAGATGAGCTCAGGGGCCTGCCATCACTGTGGCCCCAGAGCTGGGGAGAAGTCCCCTGCAGAATGTGGGTAACGAGGAAAACCCAGGAATCAATGATTGGAACTTGGAAGGTGGTTAGTTGTGATTGATTCTAACCCCACCAGGCAAGAGGCCCCGTCCTGCACAGACCTGAATTTTACCCCCAAGAGAAGAAGGCAACTGGTCGACCCCATTGGCCGCCTGACAGCCTGTTTGGAAGCAGGCTGCACCCAACCGAGCACAGCTGGAAGCAGAGGGAGACGCAAAAGCCACGGGAAGCCCATCTGCTGTGCAGCTGGGTTCCAGGAGGCTTCCCGTGGCTGCCAGCGAGGAGCACGGAGAAGGGGGAAACCCTAACTTAAAAGAACACTTTGTTTACTTCGCAGTTTGGATAGATCATTCCCCAGGGTGAGAACAGCACATTTCCTAAAGGACAATGAGACGGGAGTGCCGGGGGCAGCCCGGAGGCGCAGCGTGTGGGGCAGGGGTAACAAGAGCCACACCTTAAACCAATAAAAGTAGAGTAATGTGTTTTATTTAATTAAAATAGATTAAAAAACAGACTGTGTAAAAGAATTAGGATTCTCAATAATTTACTATTATTTACACGAGAAATTCTGGTCGTTAGTATTCTCTGTGAGGAGATGAACACGCAGAGCCCAGAGCCTCCCCGAAGGCAGAGGGAGACTCGTTGGGGGCACTCGGTGACCCCCTGATTCCCGTCCACTCAGGTTGATATGGCAAATATATCACTGAGATCCTGGTGACCGGCAGGAAGGGGAACCCTCAGCCGCCCAGGGGTCACTGTGCTGTCAGCCCTCGTAGGAGCCCAGGTGGGGACTCCTTCCTCTCGGGAGAATCGTCACCACTCAGAGTTCATCACACAGGCACCAGTCAGTGGTTCCCCTATGCCCGCGGCCAAAACCCCGTTCACAACCAACCTTCCGCAAACACTCCCTTGGCTGACGCGAAGCCCACAGTTTCCGGATAGAAGATAAAAAACAGGAATGGAAGCTGCACGTCCTGGTTTCCAGGGAAATCCTGGATGACAGAACACACCCGCCTGTGTTGTCCAGAACTTGGTGACTCACCAAGATGCCACGCAAAATGTTCTGTGCGCTTGTGGAGGAAGGAGACGTGGGGGGAGGAGCCGGTGTCCAGACCCGGCCCGGGACGTCCTGCAGGCACTTGTGGCCCCTCCAGGCGTGGAGCGGGCATGTCCCGGGGATGCATACACAGGCCAGGAAGACCCCTAGAAGCAGCAGGGGTGCCGGACCCCTGTAACCCGACTCCTGGTTGTCGGAGACTTACGGTCTCCGTGGGCGCGGGCGGCTGGGTAGGACCGGTCCCTGGCATGATGGACTTCAGCGGAGCCACGGTCACCAGCTGGGGGAGGAGGGGCCCCGTGGAGACTCAGTCCAGAATGTCCGTCTCGAAAGGCACCAGGTGGTAATAGGACAGGTTGGTGACATAAGCTGCTGGGTCATCTCCATCCTCCAGCTCGGAGGCAAACTCACCGCCGTTCTCAAACCTGAAACGGGAAAGCAGAGGTGAGGCCAGGGCTGGCTCACTGGCCCCCGGCCCCGCTGAACTGGACAAAGGGCAGACGGTCACTGGCAGGAGGGTCTTTGGATCGAACAGCATGGAAGGGCTCTCCACGACACCGGCCCATCCACCACCAGGCTGTGTGTGGAGCGAGTGTGGAAGGAACCGTGATTGCAAATTGATCAGTCACGTGGGCCCGACTCCAAAGCCATCACAGCTTTGGTTTTCACTGCCTTAGAGACTGTGATATACTTTCACTGACCAATATTGAGGCATCCATCCATCCATCCATCCATCCATCCATCCATCCATCCATCCATCCACCAATCCATTTATCCAACAATCCATCCATCCAGCCTGCCAGCCAGCCAGCCAGCCATTTATGCATCAATCCATCCATCCATCTGTCCATCCATCCATCCAGCCTGCCAGCCAGCCAGCCAGCCATCCAACCATCCATCCATTTATGCATCAATCCATCCATCCATCCATCCATCCATCCATCTAACTATCCATCCATCCATCTATCCATTCATCCATCCATCCATCCACTCACACAGTGAGTATTTCTCTCTCCATCTGGGGGTTATTCTGGGCCAGGCGCTGGGGACACAGAGTGGACCAGACACAGGGACCTGCCATGTGCTGGGCCTGTGGACCATGGCAAAGATGGGTGAAGAAGGCCGTGTGGTCCCAGCTCCCAGCCTGACTGCTTCCTGGGCCACGTGCACACACGACCAAGGAGGCAGGAGTCAGGGAGGAGCTGGGTGAGGGCAGAGGTTAGCAGAGGGCGGGTTCCTGCATTTGGGTCCTGCACTCAATGTGAGGCATTACACGGCGGGCACAGGAAGAACTCAAGGAAGGATTTGTGCCCCAAATGTGAGGCGACCTAAATACCTTCTCAACGTGGATTCCCCAGGAATGGAAACCATTTCCGCGCCCTGCCTAACTCAGCCTCGGCTTAAGCACACTTGCTTAAGCTGGAAAAAAAGGACTATAAATTTTAAAAGATGCTTCACAGAGAAAACAGTGCACGGAGGACCTTCTCCCCAGGAGGGGAGACAGATGCTGCCTGTACCTTTCCCATTGCTCCCCAGCCGAGAACCAGTCCAAACAAAGGGGAGTGGCAGAGGGGGGCGGATGCACGCCCTGCCCGGGCAGCGGAGAGGGCCTGGGGCCACTGAGCACACTGTCCACACTGCCCCTGCTCTGACTCCCGGTGACTGAGACCTCACAGGAGTTCAACTACAGCGGAAAGCCGGGCAGCGACGGGCAGGGCACGAGGCGTCCAAACCACATAGCCGCCGGCCTGGCTACACTGGCTGGGGAGCCAGCCGGGATGGGGGAAGGGGAGGGCGGAGAGGTGTCCCCCCCAGCACCCGGGGCACGTGGGGTGGACGGGGTCCCAGGGAGGCCTGCTGCCTCTAAGTTGCAAGGGAGAAGCGGAGGAGGCGGCGATGGCAGCTTCGAAATCAGACAGGAAAGGCATGGAGGTGGGTTTCCCTCTAAGCCCATGCTGACGGGCGTGTGTGGAGATGCGTGGAGCCCTGCGTCCGTGCAGGCAGTGAGGCCGAGAGGGGGCCCTTAGGTGCAGGGAAAGGCTCCGGGCAGGTGAGGGACGGGCCCGGTGGCGGCCACGACACAGCCCTGCCCAGCAGCTTCCTGCCCCTGCTACCTCTCCTGCCCTCAGATCCCCTGAGAACTGGGGAAGGAAGGGGACCTGGGATGCTCAGCAGAGTCCGGGGTCCCCTTCAGCCCCCGTGGTCCTCAGCAGGCCTGGCAAATCTCCCTGCTTCTAACCAGTGAGGACAGGGTCGGGGCTCACCCCAGGCCTGGGCAGAATCTCCCGGAGCCTGGCAACCCCTCCAGCCAACCAGGGTGGTCACAAGGCTGAGGCCCAGCCGTCCCGCTCTCACACACGTCCCCACCAGGCACACACACTTGGTCCCTGAGTGCAGGGGGGTCTCTGGTCTGAGTACTGTAGCTGCTCTCCCCCAGGGACAGTGTCGGGACTGACAGGTCCTAACAGCAGGCCTGGCAGCGTTGATCCACAGCCTTGGGGCCACACAGTTGCTGTCGAGGACCACTGAGGACAGCTGTGGCCAGGAGAGGCTTCTCTCTGTGACCTCCTGTCCCCTGGAGTGTTCAGACAGACCCTCCCGAGAGACAGACGGCAGGAGACCATCACTGCGGGGCTGCCCGAGGTCAGGCACCTAGAGAAATGCCCGGCAAGCCCAAGTTCCCTGGAGATGCTCCGGGGCCGCTCGGAGGCCGACATCTCCTCGTTAAGCTATCCTGGGATCGCAGAGGTTTCCCCGCGATCTTTCTCTCCCACCAACCCGGCACTGCAGATTGAGGATGGGTCGCCCTGTCCACGCAGAGCCCCGGGCTGGCTGGAAAAGTTACATTACAGCCCTTGCTTTCTCTCCATGCTTCTCCTCCAAAATGATTCATGGTTGAACTGCCTTCTCAGAGCTGGCCTCATGCCAGGGGCAGAGGGCCTCTCGGGGCCTCTCAGAGACAGAAAGCGTCCCTGGGATGCAGAGCCAGAGCCAGGACCCTGCAGCCCCTGGTGGTCCACCAACCACTCCACCAGGACAAGCCCGGTCAGAAGCTCCTCCCATGAAGCAGGACCTCCTTCCATCGCCGTGTAATCCACGTCAGCCTCGGACCCACGATGCCAGCTCCAAGTTGGCTCGGGGGACCCTCGGGCTGGGAGCTGTCTGTGCACACACGGTGTGTACGATGTGCGTGGTCCCGGCTGAGCGCGAGGCATGGCGGCATTGGGTCGGTCCTGGTCCGCTTTCACGTGGGGCTGACGGGGTGCGGAGGGACCCCCGGACTCTGAGAGGCCCCCTGGTTCCGGGCTTGTGCCGGTCAAGTGCCCGCGGGAGACCCTGAGCTTCCAGAGCTGCCCGGGGGTCCCAGTGTCAGGCGTCCATGCTCGTCACCTGAGCCTTCAGGAGACCCTGCGAGAGCACAGCGGTCCCACCAGGAGAGAACAGGAGCCAGGAGACGGGAACGAACTCCCTGAGCTCACACAGCAGGGAGAGCCCCGGGCGTGGCCTTGACAGTCACCCGAGCCAGGTCCTGCCCGATAACCCCGAGACGGCTGGCAGCACCCGGGGTGGCTTTCCTAGAGCCCCCATCGTGGTCCATGTTCTGTCACCCGAGGAAGGAAGCACGGAGGGCAGGGGGTCTTTAGCTGCCTGCCTTCTCTAAGCCGATGCATCCGCCCTCCCCGCAGGGCAGGCCCATGAGCCACAAAGAAGCCCCCTGGGAGGCAATGAGAGGTCAACATGCAGCTGACGCCCAACCCCCCCCCCCAGGAGACCAGGCCCCCACGAGGAGGCTTGTGGCCCCGGACCCTCCAGGGCCCAGCACAGCCCAGACGTGAAGCCAGGCAACTCCTCCTGAATGTCCCCCCTCCGCACTGCCAGCCGCATGGTCACACTCTGTCCCCTTCCTAGAGCCCCGAGTGGGCAGGGAACCTGGCCCGGGCACTGGCTGATGGCTCGGGACCTCGTGTGTAAAATGACACTCGAATCAGTGCACTTACAGGTGCTCCGAGGGGTCCACAGCTGCGTGCTGGTCTTTTCCGTTTGGTATGCTGTGGTCAATAACGATTGTTTCGGTATTTGCTAAGCAAAATCCATTGGACCTCATGATTTCTGAAAGCGAAAGCAGTAAGGGAAATATTCAGAAGGGGATCCGATTATGAAGTTTTGCAGTCTGGGGCTCACACTGCTCTCCCCACATCCCCCTTCTCCTACTGTGCTCCCTCCTTCCCCACAGTTTAGAGAAAGCTCCGCCGTTCAGACTCAGGGGCCACACCTGCCGACCCTACGCCAGTCCAGAGGGGCGTCTCTCCCCCGCAGAAAGGCGCTCTGGCAGTCCGAGCGCTCTCGCCATACGCCCGCCCTGTGGGTTTGAAGCTGGAGCAGAACGAGGCTGGGTTTCAGGCTAAGACGACCGCACACGACGTGGGCTCTGCCCAGGTCGCCTGACCTCTCTAAGCTCTCACCTGTCTCAGGTGAGGATAACACGGCCCAGGGTCGCCGTGAGGATCCAGCGCAATCCGTGTGTGTTTTCAACCAAACGGGTGACTCCACCTTTTACTTTATATAATCCTATATATAAACTGACTTCTCACCAACAAGCACAATTTGGGGTAATTTTAAAAGGGCAACAAAGAGATCGTCTTTGTGTGTCTACATTGGCTGTGTGGTTAGATTCCAAGTGCAAAGTCTGGTGCTCACTCAGCTCTAGAAGGGGAGCGGGGGACGGGGAAGCCCGAGCATCGGTGGTGGTGGGGTGTGTGTGTGTGTGTGTGTGTGTGTGTACGCGGAGGCGTGGGCAGCTGAAACAGCACCGGCCTGGGACCTGGGACTCCACGGCGCAGCCCAGCAGGGAACCCCGAGATACCGGACGCAGTGTCCTAACTGGAAATTTCAAAACTGTCCTGGATGCTCTCCAAGTACCCTTCCAACTCTAAGAGCCTATTAGCTCCCAGGCTCCATCACGTCATCTGGTCCATTTAAACATAAGTGCACTTGACTCCCTTCTCCGACCTGGGGAAGCTCTTACTGACATTTCCCGGGGACTGTGTGTCCTTCCCTTCCCTCAGTGGATCACAGACTCTCCAAGGATAGACCTGGAGGGTCACCAGGGCTCCAGCTCCTTGTGTGCATCTCCAACCAACCTCAGCCCCTGGTCATCGAGCTCCACGCTCAGGGCCTCGTTTGTCCCATCAAATCAGGGCCTTCACTAACCTCACCTTAAAAACGTGCTTCAAACAGACTCTGAACTCCTGCCGGGTCCTCAAATCCAATGATCATCGTCTTCCCACTCAGGGCCTCATGCACGGGAACAGCTCAAGATAGCCCTTCCTCCGGCCCTGGCACAGGCCGCAAGGATGTCCAGTGTTACCCCGTCTCGTCGGGTGGCTGATGCTGTTGTTGTTTGCGGGGTTGTTTTATTTCTTACGTCTCACCATAATTTAGATTATTTTATCCCCATGTACAGATTTGCTTTTTTTTAATAAGTGAAATTGTAACTTCCTATTTACTTTTCATCTTTCTGGGTATTTGATTCCCAGTTCCATGAATTTCTCTCCACATGAAGACACTTGGGGAAACTACACAAAAAAAAGAAGAAAAAAAAGTCGATTTCCTCCTTACCTCCGCCCCCCAGGATAAAATGACTATCCATCAATCGGATTTGCCAAGTAACTGCTAAAATTTCCAATTGACTTTCTGGAGAAGTGACAGCGCTCGCTTCACTGGCCTTTCGAGGTCGGTCGCACTCCACGGGGCATCAGCACGTGGCTCTTTCCCGACCTCCTCTCCCTGGCTGAGCCCACCCAGAGCCCACCCGCCTCGGACAGCCTGTACGTCATGAGAAGGAGCTGAAAACCAGCGAAAAGTCAGTGCTTGGAACCTCTGGGGTCAACTACACCACCAGGTGCAAAAAGAGCACGAAGACGTTGACCAAAGCCTGAGTGGACAGACACTGCAGAGGACGATACCCCAACAGGAGAGATTAAGACCCCCCTGCTTCACAATTTAAAACGCACGACAGCACAGAACCACCTGCTTTACTGCTTTTATTAACTGACTCAAACCTGTCCCAGGAAGCACGTAAAACCTCAGGGACCTCAGGACAGCCAGCTGACAGCCCCCAGATCCTCTCTCCCACCGCCTCCCAAGGGAATTTGGAGGGGAAGACCCTACAAGTGAAAACAAACGTCAGCGCTGCAAAATATTTGTACATGTCGCCAGGAGTCACCTTGTATAGGAACTTCCTCATCTTTCTTAAATGTGAGATTTGGAGCTCTAGAAAGTGGAATCTAGAAAATGGAACCAGCCCCCGAAACAAACTTGTTACAAATCATTCCTTAATTGTCTGTGCAGAGAAGCCAATTGTCTGCAAGGCCAGCTGGGCCCTCCAGGAAACTCCACTTCTGCCACTTAAGCGTGGGAAGCAGCTTACTCCTTGCTTAGCTTTTTCGTCTGTAAAAGGGGAATAACCGTATCCAGCTATCCCAAGGGGCACGGGTGTGGATTAAATGAGATGGTTTTTACAAAGAATCTAACAAATGCTGGGGCTCATAAATGGTAGTTATTGCTATCGTTGTTCCAAGTGTCCTCATGTCTGTTGGGTCACCCAAATAAAAAGAACCAAAGGAAATGCTACGCTTACTGAAAAGCTTCAGCATCTGAAGCCTACCTTCAAATGTACTGAAAATGGGAATTTCTTAGAAGTCAGCTTAGTACCTTTAATCACATACAAGCCAGTTCTATGAAATAGCTCCTTTTCAAGCCAGTTTTTCGCATACAGAATTTTTTTCACATGAAGAAGAGTCCTGCTTCGCCATTTCTTACTTCTTAAAACTTTTGTGGAGCTCATTTTAGAATTATGGAAAAGTTGCAAAAACAGTATAGAGCTTTCACAGATTGCTCGGCAGCTCGTCCTTTGGTTAACATTTTACATAACCATGGTACGACGAGCAAATCCAGGAAATGAACATCGGCGCAATGCTCGATAAACTAAAACCTCCTGCACCTGAGTTTCACCCACGTCCCTCTGTTCTGGGCCCGGCCCGGATCCCTTGGGGCAGGAAGATGCGGTGGTTCAGCCTCCTGTGACCCCTGACGGCCTCGAGGGCCTGGGTCTCGCCTCATCTCTCCTGTGGCTGCAACACTTGGGACGCGGACTGGTGAGTCTTTCACTGACTGTGCCTCAACCTGCCTGGCGTTTCCGTGCTTGGACAGAGGTGGACGGTCCAGCAGGAACCCGCAGGGACGCTGCCTTCCCTTGGGCATCAGATCAGGAGTGCGATGCCCACAGGCCTCACTTATTCCTGGGATGTCGTCTGGATCTCTCGGGTCAGGAGGTTTTCTCCAAAATGAGGATACTCCCTCTCTCTTTGTAGTTGAGAACGATCCTGGTGGAGATGTAAGTGCAAATTCTGCTTCTCCTTCAACTTTCACCCACTAATCCCAGCATCTTCCAGGGATCATTCCTGCAGCAATGGCTAGTGTCTGGCTGGTGGTGATTTGCTTTTTTTACTTGCAGCCCTGTTTTCACATGCCCCATATGCCACCATAACTCACTTCATTAATTCATCTATTCTTTTTTTTCCTGCGGACAGTCTCAGCCCTGAAAGCATTCACACGCTCTCCGATCCCCTTTCCTATTCTACTTTCAACGTCTCTAGCAACGGAACAAAACCCAAAGCCATGTTGCTTCATTAACTGGAGACCAGGACTCTCCCCGTGTGGTGAAAATTAAGTTGAGACTGTACAGATGCCTGGTTACTAAAAAATGAAATTATATTTCCAGCCTTCCCAAACCTGAGTACTATGATTTTTGAGGCCGATATCAATTAATCCAAGCAGCCAGAGCGAGGCTGAGGTTTATGCTTTCTTTTAAGCTGCACCAACACAGCCATGGTGTAGAAAACTAAATTTAAGTTTTCCTAGACTCGGTAATAAACTTTTAGATTAACACGGGATGAAGAGTGTTTAAGGCTGCATTGGTCCAAAGCATCACCTAAGAGACCAGAGCACTTGCCAGAATCGTGGCCCCGGGGTGGGGTGGGGAGGCCAGTTCTCACACCATGGGCGCCTGGCGCCACCTAGTGGAGCTCCTGATCCCTAGCCGGTCAACCTAGAGGTCACTGCAGGAGGCCTGAGAGTGGGCCAACGTCAGGGCTGTCCGCCAGGGCACCACCTCCCAGGATGCCACATCAGAGGCTTGAGAAGATGCTGAGAAGTCTGGGGGAGGGGGTGACAGCGGGAACGGCCGTTTCCATGCACGAGTGGAGTTTAGCTGGACAGGAGTGGACGTGGACGGGCAGGGATTGTGGGGAGGGAGGAGACAGGGCCCAGCCAGCAGGAGGCCCAGGGCCTGGAGCAGAGGGGTCGACGGTGACATGGAAAGCCAGAGTGACCACAGCTTGACATGCCCAGGATGACAGGAAATCCATAAATGAATGAGCCAGGAAGTCAGGTCCGGGTGGCCGATGTCGGTACTGAGGACACACCCCGGGGAGAGGCTGGGCTGCTGGAGACTCGGCCCTCGGGGCGCCTGGCTCTCTGGGTCCTGAGGCCCAGCCCCCCGGGCACTCCCGAGTCCACGCGCAGCGCAAATACGGGCCCAGACTGAGGAGCAGGGCTTTTGCCCACGCGGCTCCAGGCCCTCTGCGGCTGGCAGCGCTACTGTAAGGAACAGTTTTCATTAGAAGTTTTTCTGAATTTGCCACATCCTTGTCTCAGTGGCCAACGAAAGCACGTCTCACGTGCCATGGGAACTCCCCCGCCCAGCCACGCGCTCAGGCAGAGGGAGGGCCAGCGAGGTTGGGGGCGAAGATCCCAGGGAGAACCCCTTTGACTGATGAAAGCGGACGAGGGGGAGGGACCCCCAGGCGTGGGAGACCCTCAGCTCTGGAAGGGGCGACCCCGCCAGCTTCCCGCACAGGGCTGCCTGCAGGCCGTGGTCTTGGCACGAGGCTTCGGGCTCTCGGCAGCTGACTCGCAATAGCTGTTTGCGAAGCCCACTGTCAGGCAGCCCCGTGTCACAAAGTGTTCCGTGCTGAGCCGCAATGGCTGCACTGACCCCCCCCCTGCGATGCCCCAGCGGGGAGCACGATGTCCCCAGGACCCGGGCTCCCAGTCTGCACGGGGAGACCAAGGCCCTGCCTTCCCAGACCTGCGTGCCAGGCCTCCTGAGCTCGTGGGCAGGAGGGACCCCAAACCTCTGTCCTCAGTCCTCGAAACAACACAGGAACGTAGTTAAAACCTCGACGTGGGACCCCAGCGCTACCCCTGTTCAATCCTGTTTCCTTCCTTTCAGCGCTTTGGGGTAAACTTGGGTCGTGCGTTTATCCGAATCGGCAGTAAAGACGAGGCACTGAGATGGGGGCTGGGGACGCCAGGTTGTCGCCATCAGAAGCACCTGCATGCAGCGCCGGCCCGTCCCTCTTACGCCCTGGGGCCTTTGGGTCAACCTGCGCCTGCCACCAACCCCAGGCCCTGAAAGGATCCTGCGGCTCTCGGTTCTCCTGTTTGCTCAAAACAGAAAGAAATCAAGCAAAATGGAGATGCCAGGGCCGGGGCTCTTCCGTGCAAGACTGAAGGACAGAGGTGCCCACGCTCCAGGTGACAGCACACAGAGCCCGACACGCTCTGAAGCCTCTCTGAGGCTTGGACACTGGAGTCCCCGGACATCCGGTCAGGAGGGCTGACCACCATTTTCACTCTCCTGTAGAGAAGGTTCTGGACGCTAGGCGTTAGCTAAGAAGAGGCCCCCAGCCCCCTGCTCATCCTCCTAAGGACACACATGAAGCTCTCCTGGGAAGACGACAAAAGTGGCAGACACGCAAACCCAGGCTGAACCCTGTCCTGCGCACACATGGTCAGAGCGAAAAGTAACTTTTCCGTCCCGGGTTCCCAGAACCTGCCAGCCCTGCCCGCCGCGCCCCAGCACGCAATTAAGGAATCTCATCCTTGCCGTGGTACATCAGTCAGTAAGGACACTTTTATACCAGTGACGTCAGCCGTCACCCCAATGTGCCCCCTCCATCTTCCCATCACTGGGGCCCAGTTCCTTTTCAGGTGATGGCTCTGGGCTCAGGTCCCCTCACCTGCTGATTCTTCCCCATCACCTCCCTCTGAGCCCCCCTCCTCCGCTCCCTCCTCTTTCCTTCCTTCCACGAAGAACTCAAGTGCTGGACACAGGGACCCCCCCCCCCCGCCTCCCCTCATGTCAAGGTGACCTGTGGGATGTCACCGCTGCCCGAGCTGTATCCCCTCTGCGCCCGGCAAACGCCCACACAACCTCACTCAGGCCAGACAAGTTGCCTGGGGAAGCCCGGTACCTGAGACTTCCAGGACAGACCTCTTTTCCTACAAAATGCCCCTCACAGGCTTTGCCAACGGCACTGCAAAAACAGAGTCTAGTGTTGTAGCAACACGTGCGCCCCAGATCTGAGGAAGGTGCCACCGGGCTGGACCCAGGCTTCCCTCGCTCCCCTCTGACCCGCAGGACGGCTGACCATCCCCTCTTAGTGCTGCTGACATTTGTCAGAGGCTCAACCCAGTGTCCACGCTAAGGAGACCTACACCATGTGTCCCTTTCTGTCCCCCCGTCCTAAAGCCAAGAACCAAGTCAGTGTTGCGCTAGGTGAACTCCTATTTTTGCAGGCTGGACGACACATTCCAGTAATTCACTTCAAAATGCCTCACTGAGGGCTTCCCTGGTGGCGCAGTGGTTGAGAGTCTGCCTGCCGATGCAGGGGACACGGGTTCGTGCCCCGGTCCGGGAAGATCCCACATGCCGCGGAGCGGCTGGGCCCGTGAGCCATGGCCGCTGAGCCTGCGCGTCCGGACCGCGACGGGAGAGGCCACAACAGTGAGAGGCCTGTGTACCACAAAAAAAAAGCCTCACTGATGCTTTCATCATAGACTATTTAAGTACATTCCAATTTATACGCCAGATAACTCGCTTTGGAAGTAGGAAGAGTGTAAACTGCAGGTCAGTAGGTAGAAACACACAGTTTCATAAAAATCGGGAAACGGTCCCTCCCCTGCTGCTCCCACCCTTCTGTTGGGCTGTCTTTCTGGATCCCAAGTGCGGGAGGTGTGTCCAGCACGTGGACAGTGGGCTGGGAAGGTTTCTGGTGGCCCTGTGGCTCTCACCTGATATTTTCACCGGACTTTGAAAGCTGGGTTGAATTTTATGGACGTTGTCATTTTTTAACACCTGATCCAGGGGAGATCTTTCAAAGAAGGTGAGCACGACTTCTGACCTGGAATACTGGGAAGAAACATGTTCATTCCTATACCTTTTCCTCCCGCGAGGCAGCCCGTCTGACGCTGGTGGCCCCGCACGGCTCAGACTGCGGGACTGAGCGCGGACGGGGCCGCTTCCCCACTCACCTGTCAGGCGCTCAGGTGGCTCGAGGCCCAGGGACAGACAGGATGGGGACAGTGGGAACAGTTCGTGCCTGGTCTGCGCCAGCGTTCACGCACGTCCATCTCCCCTCACTTTCCAGTAAACCGCGAGCCCGTCACTTCCGCTGCCTCCCCAGGGAGAAAGCACCAGAGCCCCCAGAGCCCAAGGAGCCTCCCTTCCCTGGGCTTACACCTAACCCCACCTGACACTTCCAGGAAGCGCGCCCCGGCCCCGCCCGTCCGCCCGCACCCACCTCGCGTGCCCACCTTGTGCACCCACCTTGCGCGCCCACCTTGCACGCCCACCTTGCACGCCCACCTCGCACACCCACCTTGCGCGGCATGCTGATGACGGCCTTGAGCAGCTTCTCCACTTCGTTAAGCCTGGTCTCGATGTCGTGGGCATCCTTTATGGCGACCAGCCCTGGGATTGAGACAGAAATGCCTCCATCAGAAAAACACACCAAGAAGTGTGCTCCCGAATTAAATACAGAACAACAAGACGCCTCCCTGGCGTCACCCTCCACGAAAGACATCTGGGAAGTTTACTCGGCCTCACGTGGGTGCAGCCCTGCCCTGAAAGCCTGGCTCTCAACCTCGTTTTAAGTTTCAACAACCCAACGAGTGATTAACGTGTGTGCTGCAGTGGACGCTGTCCGTCTGAAAGCCACAGAGACACCATCAGAGGCCTCTCCGAGCGGGACTCTCCAGCCGCACCCTGGACAAGGCCAGAGCTCAGCCCCCGCCCGCGTGGTGGCCGTAGCTGGGGGAGGCTGAACCCACCGGCCCCCAATGACACAGCTGAGATGACCACAGGTCCCGTGGAAACGGAGCCTATGTTTAGACAAGTCATTTAGATACTGGCTTTGAACGGGAAAAAATCACATCTTTACCCAGAGAAAACCAGCGTGGCCATGACTCACAGCACTTTCCAGGAATCGGCTTCTACCCTCGTTCCAGTTACCGGAAGACTCGACTGGCTACTAAAAAGTGCGGTATTCTGTCTCTAAAACACGAGAGCTAGTGGCACGGAGACTCGGGGTGCGGTTCTATCTTCCTTTGAGCAGTGCAGAGCACAGACCTTCCCAGCACAGCTCCTACACATCAACTTCCCAGGGATGGAGCAGGTCAGATTCCCAAGGACATTTCACGTGACCCAGGATGTTGGTCCCGGTGAGCTACGACCAAACCGCAGAGGCTGAAATCCCAGAACTATGTTCACTCACTGAATCCCAGTTTTCAGAAGTTCTGGTTTTGTTTTACAGGTGAAAGGGTTGTTCATTTTGCAGGCAGCTCGCCAAGTCCACATAGTGTTAAATTAACCTCCTAAACTACGTGATTGAAATTAAGAGGCCCCAGAACGCGTGGTCCATGGAAACCAGGGGCGCCCCAGACACAGGGCGAGGGCGCTTCTGAAGGCCTGGGCTGAGCAGGGGGTCCCTCGCATTAGCTGAGGTCAGGAATGTCCAGTCAAGGCCAGGAATCGGTCCCTGGACCTCCTGGAGCACAGGCCGGGTGCACCTTCACCTGGCCACCCGGGGGCCTGCTTCTCAGTGGGCTGTCTGGTCCTGCCCACCCCACCTCAAGCCACACGGGCCCAGGCAGCCAGCCAAAGACCCCAAGCCTCGGTCCACACAGCCCGCACTGGCAACCCCAGCCATCGCCGGAGAGAGGGGCCCGGGCCACCTCCTCCCCTCTCACCTAGGCTGCCTGGCCTACCCACCACCCTGCAGGCTGGGGGCAGCGAGAAGGGAGAAAGAAAACACCAGGGTGCCAGGGGCTCAGCCCTGAGTTTCTTGTTTAGAGTTACACACACGCACTAGCACACACGCAGACACACACACACAAGCACACACGCAGACACGCACACACACCCCTCTGTGACCTCTTGCTTGCTATGGACAAGTCTACAGAGGAAAAGAGGGACGCTGGAAAATCCTCTGAAAAGTTGTTTTTCGAGACAGGACAATTCTGTAAATCATCCCCAGAAAGAGCTTCTTTATTCTAAGACAAGCAAAACTACTGTCACGTTTCAACTTCTGTTACATCTAGCACACTGGTGTTAAATCACTTGAGTTCATGACACAGTAGTTGTGTTCTGTAAGGACAGTTTATAGGATCAGCCTCTCGTCTGGTCAATGCGTACGGCGTATTTATACCCACCTCCTAGGACGTAAAGCACGTGTAGCCCCATGGTTGGGTTTACAACCACCCAGGGTACCATTCAGTCAAATAAACACACTGATCTATGCTGATCTTCTTTTAGGGCTGCCAGAATTAGCAAGCAAAAAGCAGGACACCTAGTTCAAGGTGCGTTTCAGATAAACACTGAATAATGCAACAGTATGGATAGACACACTAAAAAATTATTCAGTGTTTATCTGAAACTCAAACTTACTTGGTGTCCTGTACTTTACCTGGCAACACTATCTTCTTGGCGACCTGCTTTCCAGACGAAGCAGAGAAAGGCAAGAAGTACGTGGTCAGGCCTCTGGGAACACGTAAGGGTTTAGGCTCAGCGCACACACCCTGGGGGTCCGAGCCTCGCCAACCTCACCAGCTCCGCTGCTCTGTGACTACCACATCCTCATCCCAACCCCGAGGAACGGGTCCAAGGCACCAGAACGTGGCCCCCATGCCCGCACAGCACTGCCTCTGGGGGACCCATGCCCACTGGCCTTCCCCCACCTCCAGGCTCGAGTGAGAAAATCCCACCATCCCTTAAAGGCCACGTGGGTTGGGACACGCCTTCTGCTCTGTGAAGCCCCCCACCCACCAGGCGGGACTCGTCTGCTCTGAGCTCTGGGAGAGCTCCATCCACCCCACCTCTGCAGCACTCACCACTCGGCAGCAGACCTGCTCCCTCCCCTGTGGCCTCCCCAAGCCCACCTGTGAAGCTGAGTGTAGGAGGTACCCAGGGTCCCCTCCTGTCGTCAGCCGTCAGCACAGGGCCTGACACTGACACTGGCACCCGCAGGAGATTCACTGGTCGTTGGCCATTTGTTGATGGAATAAAGTTTCACAAGAGAACAGAGTCAAGGACAAGTTATCATCTGTGTGTGTCCACCAGCCTACGGGTGCCAACCGCATCTCTGGCTTCTCGGCGCCACTGACCCCAGCCGGATCCCGGCCAGCAGGCTCAGGGTCACAGGCCTCAGAGGAGAAGCTGCCCAAGACCGAGGTGGTAACAAACCCACTGAGTTGCCAGCCACTCTGGTTTGGTTCTATCTGTGGAAGCTGCAAACTTATCGTTGCCTTTCACCTGCCTTTATGCTTCTGAGGAGAAGCCAAACGGTGCTCTCTGGAAATGAAAACGTGCTTCAAAACAAGAGGGGCTGAAAACATTTCCATGGCGAAAGAACACACTGGAATCCCTCCTGCAAGAACAGAGTGACAGGGGATAGTTTTTTAAGCTTTGGCTTTTGGTTGGGGGCCCTTCTTCATAATTTATTTCCCCGTGGCATAGTGGCTTCTGGGTGACAACCAAGGCGATCGGGCTCAGCGTTCCCACGGTACGTCCTCCTTTCCCCAAGGAAACCCGTCCATGTGAATGACAAGGACGCTCACCTCTTCCCTGAGGAGGGAATCAAAGGTGGAGATTCGTGAAGCTGTGGATTCGGCTGGGCTGACTGGCATCCATCTAGGGGCGGCCCCCAAGGCTACCTGGCCCCCACAGAGCCCCTCCCTCACCCCACATCAGGGCAGGAAGGGGTCACCACTGGCTACGGGGCTTCCAATGGCTTGGCCCCTCTTCCAACGCCAGCACCCACGTTTCCCTCCTCTCCTGGGCCTGGAAATCACCCTCCTTCAGTTGTTTTAAAGGTGTTTCCCATTAAACAGGGAGGTGTACTAAATGCGGAAGGAAAACATTCAAACAAACAAACAAACCCAAAACTGTGCTTTGAGGCCACAGTGCAGAAATGAAATAAATCTTCCTTTAAAATTTCATGTCTCAAACCCACTGAGGTCCGCCCCCATCAGCTTTCTCAAGTTCACAACTGTTGGAAACCGAAACACCTGCTGGAAACACCCAAGATCAGCATCAATTCCCAAAATGACACAGCACCAGGCACGGAGTGTGAGCAGAGCCCACATCTGGGGCCTGTCATTGCCCAGGACGGACGGCGTATGGAGACGCTCAACTACGTACAGGCAGTCGGGGGGCTTTCTGTCCTACCTGCTGTATTCTTCCTTTGTGACCCAAGAGCTTTGGCTTTTGATGACCGGCAGAGCTTTTCCAAATGTCACTTGTTTACAGTAACTATTTGAAACTTCATTTTCAAAAATGTGCTTACGTCCAATAATTTATGATTATCTAGAACTTCTAGCTTTTGTATTCCAAATATGGTTGATTGAACGAAAACTGTGGGGATCTTGTTTGACTCAGTTTTACTATCTGAGATCGTGATTCTAAAGAATGCAAGCGGATAAAATGGTTGTAAATTTGCAGTTGGACAGAAAAACTCAGGACCCCCCCCCCCTTGGTTATGAGGCTGCCGTTCCAGGGCCGGCCAGCAGGAGGCGCCATCAGTCCATGGAAGGCGCGGGACGCAGTCCAGCGAGGACAGCGGGAAGGGATGCGGTCCACCCGCCACACCCAAGTTCTAAGGAAACTGACTCAGAAGACTTCACAGCCCCAGGAAATTTTCTAATTTCTGATAAAGCATCATCACTAACATAATCTCAATTTTAAAAAATTTCACTCTACACAATTTGTGATGTGAGAAATTTATCCAGATATAGCCCCAAACTTTGAAACTGTAAGATTGATAACACGACTACGTACATTTCAGTATGTCAATTTCACATCCCTTTGGGGGTTGAAATTCAGCCTTGAGCAGCCAGAGTACCCCTTCTGTCTAAACTAGCTTACCCTTGAAAATCGAGAACTCCAAACGAGCTTCTGTCAGTTCCTGGGTTAGGTCTTTATACAAACACAAACACCTGACTCATTCTCGGAACCCAAACTGAACCCAAACTGTATCAGCACAAAGATCAGGCTGAGGGAGCAGACACAGACCAGTGTCCTAACCTCAGGCACCTGGTCCCACGTCCTACTTCTGTGGGTGGAGGCTTCGGACTGAACATCTCTGGTGACTGTCCCAGCCTCCAGGGACAGACTCAGGGCTGAATCTCCCTGAGCGCCTTCTGCCGCTGTAATTCTGGGAGTGAAGACGCATGCTTCTCGGGTCAATTGGGAAGGAGTGTCCGTTACCCAGAGGATGCCAGTCCCTTAAGAGGAGACTCCCATGGCAGACCCCGGGGAAATCTTCTGTGATGTGGACTTTCCAACTGAGCCAAAGAAGGCATAGTTCAAAAGTCCATCCACGCAGAGCCCAGAGAAGCAGGCGGCTCGGGCGAGGTGCGGAGGGCACTGTCACGAGATATATATTCTTTAAAGGCTGAGGATCGTACAAATTTTGG